CAAAAACATGAAAACCCATTATAAACGAGGCATTCGTTGCATCCAGTGGGGACATAATTATGGATTATAATGACTTATACTGTCTTTTTACGTGTTGCGTTGCATTTCGCCGCGTAAACATAAAACCATGTCTGCATTTGTGATCAGAGAAATGACAGACAACAAGCCCTTCTCTACACTGTCCAGAAATCGCTTTAAATATATAAAATATAAAAACTCTTTAAATATAAAAAAACGTACTTACAGTCTTTGAGTCAGAACAGCCGGCATTGTAGTCTACTCTCCCAGGATCAGTAAACAGTCCTCCATAAAATGTGCTGCACACATCTGAATATTTGGGTTGAAGTGTTCTGAAACAGTGTTGTAAATACAACTTAACCACTGATTTCTAGTAGTGTCCATTTTTGGAAGGCCAAACAAAGTAGTTTCGCTTTCACAACGAAACGCAGCTTCACACACGGCAGCCTTGAGTGAGCAGAGGCCGGGGGATAAAGTGAGGAACGGCCGACGGGCTGATTGAGCAGAGGCAATGGATTTGACGAAGGAGCGTCCGGAGGGCTTGCGGCAACCACATGGACTCCGCTTCGTCCACGGTGAAAGCCGATCCAACGATCCACAGTGCAAAGTTGATGTATTTCCTCAGAAACCAGCACGGATCAGCTCCAGTCATGACGAAGCAAATATCGTCCTCTTTTGGAAGGCTAAACAAAGTAGTTTCGCTTTCACAACGAATCACACAGCGCATTCACAACATGGCGGCAGCAACAATACTACAGCCAGAATAAAAGTTCCGCTTTCTTTGCGTGAATATTTGGGTGGCGTTATGCAAATCTTCCCACATAGTGATGTAGATATGTGGGGGCGTGTTAGAACGAGCCATTTTAGGTAGGTGTGGCTGACTCTTAACTTTTATAAAGAATATCTCTTTGGACTTTAGTCTTTGCAACTTTACAGCTCTTCGTTATGTACCAAGAGCTTGTAACACTCCAAAGAAAAAGGAAAAATTGAAATCGCATCATATGACCCCTTTATTCAAATTTCTAACTGATGGTAATGCTTTTGTTAATTATAAAAAAAACTCATGGCCACCTCACAATCCCGTCTGAGATGTTCCCCCAAGCACCCAATTGTAAAAGTTTGTAGCAAGAATGAAACACAGAATTCAGTATCCAGAAAGGGCTTATCAGCTAACCTTGAAACCTTGTTACCCAATCTTATACAGAATATTTTTTCTCACAATAGAGAATTCAGAAAGTTCTCTGTGCATCTCCATTAACAGCTGTGTAACCTTCATGTTGCAGCTGAAGTGTGTGAAATGACACTTTTAGCTGTGTGTGTCAAGGTATGGGGTACTCATTTGTGTTTGTGTGTGTTAGGAGGATATGAGATGGAGAGGGTAAACTGCACAGCGTGTGGTCAGCAGGTGAATCATTTCCAGCGTGACTCAGTCTACAGGCACCCTATGCTCAAAGTCCTCATCTGCAAGGTATGTATATGCGAGTCTGTGCATTAATGTGTGTTTGTGTATGTAAATGTAAAGTAGATAATACCATAAAGGAGAGTTTATTCATGCCTGCATGTTTTTTTTTGTTTTTTTTACATGTTTGGTTGACAAGTAGCTAATCCTTCTGCAGAGTTTTATATGGATCTGTTTGCTTTCTTGTAGAGTTGTTTTAAGTATTATATGAGTGATGACATCAGCAAAGATTCAGAGGGGATGGACGAGCAATGCAGGTAAATGGGTGGGATGATGAAGAGAAGCCTAGTATTGTTTTTATATATATATTTTTTTTTTACACACACACACATATACATATATACATATACATATATAGTGTGTGTATATAGTGTGTGTGTATATATATGTATGCATGTATGTACAAGGGTGTACATTTCAACAGTGGGGGTGGGTGGGGGGGGGGACAATAAGGGGGATTTCTCAAGAGCAATTTTTCAAGGGCACAAAAATAATACAGCCAAAATTGTGATTGTAAGGATAGATAAGTGTACACATATGTACATATCATGGAGACCATGTTTAAATATGAGTAGGTTCATAGGTTCACCACGTGGTAATATAAATTATTTTGCATCCTCCACATAGTATTTTAGGTTTCGTCTGGGATTGAGGATGTCTCTTATTTAGATATTCAACCTAGTGCTGTGTTTGATACATCGATACGACGATGTATCATCACAGAGATTTGCTGTATCGATATTGTGGCACGTGTGCAGCAGTGGACCGCACTTAATTTGAATACAAGAACAACGTTTCAAATTGAGCAGAAAAGTGCAAGGTTTCTAAAAAATAATGAATAGAGCATAATATATAGGCAATAACAAGGTTTAATCTGGCTGCAGAGGAACACAACTGGGTTGCCTGACACAAAGAGAAGTAATCCCCGAAACAGATCTTCACACTTGCGCAATATGGAAATATCTGCTAACTGTGCTACTTATCTTTGTCAACCTGGCAACCCTGTGCTCACGCACTCTCTCTCCACCGAGGATAAACGCGCTTGCTTTCTGAAAACACCGGTTTTAGCTTGCAGTTTAGCGATCTCCACTTCAATATTCTATTCTCATAAAAGTGTAATTCATCAAGTGTTCATTTATGAGAGAGAGGGGCTGTGTATGTATGAATTACCACCGTTTTGCCGCGTTTCTCTATTAACAGTGAAGCTGTGGCTTTAATTCCTTTAGAAACAGCGATGTAATGTAGCTCTCGATTAAGCTATTTAGTTGATAAAATTGCGGGGCAGCGCTAAAAAGTTTGTTCCTGAATGTCAGAGTGCAGCCGCAACGTGATCTGTGTGAGTGAGCGTGTGTGTGCGCATTAGATACAGAAGACAGCGCATTAGTTTAGAACTCTTCTCATTTTTATTTTTTAAACGTAGAGAGTGTGTTAATTTGTGCAATGATAACCTACCAGCAATGTAAATATGATTTTTTAAAATATATTAGAATGAGTACATTACAATACAAATGTATTAGAACGAGTACATTATTATTTATGGGCTTAAAAACAAGATGCAAAAAATCTGAATATTGTACCTGGTGAGGAGTGCCAAATGTAAACATGAAACGTATGGCATTACTATAGTATGCCGTGTTTAATAAACAGCTGTTTTACTAAATTCTTCTGAGGTGAAATTCAGTACAGTCCCGTATTGTGATATGTACCGTATCGTGGCATCTGTATCGTGATGTGTATCGTACTGTGACTTTGCTGGTAATACACAGCCCTGATTCAACCACAGTAAGCCCACATCTGCCACTTAACATCATATTGAGCAAAACCCAACACAATGGTAGATCTACAATGTTAGCATGATGTCTAGGGATGTAATGATTCACTCAACTCACGATTTGATTCATGATGTTGATTTCACGATTCGAATTTCTCAAGATTTGTTTGAACAAAATGAGATTGAAGACATTATACAGTAAATGAAAAGGTGTCGTTTTATTAGGCCATTGCTGCACGTTTCTTTGTGATACTGAAATATAACAAAACTAAATCGAAATTTTAAAACAAACCCCTAATCAAACAAGTTACACCAATAAAATACATTTTTTAATATGAACAAAATAAGGCTTTGTCTGTGCTCTTTCCATTTAAAATTAGAGGCAACCACTGGATTTTAATCGTGATCCAAACGAAGATGCAGCTTGAATATTTTATCGAAATTAGACTGTATAATTTCGAAATTTGAAGCAATAACAGAATAGTCTGACTTTAGTTTTGTGAAACTATACTACATAAAACATATCTGAACGAAACATTTGTTTGGCATCTCAACCGATTTGAATCGTCTCACATTTGAATCGATTTTCAACCGGCTTGTGGTTAATCGTTACATCCCTACTAATATCAGTTCACACACAGGCTTATCGCCGTGTTAGTTGTAGTTGGGTGACTTACTACAAGCTATTTAACAAGCTACCAAGCAAGCTAGGTTACCTTATAGGGGTCATATGATGCGATTTACATTTTTCCTTTCTCTTTGGAGTGTTACAAGCACTTGGTGCACAAAGATGATCTGTAAAGTTGCAAAGACTAAAGTCTTAAATCCAAAGAGATATTCTTTATAAAAGTTAAGTCAACCACACCTACCTAAAACAGCTCGTTGTAACACGCCCCCACACGTCTACGTCAAAATGTGGGAAGATTTGCATAACTCCGCCCAAATGTTCACGCAAAGAAAGAAGGCATAACTTTTATTCTGGCTGTAGTATTGTTGTTGCTGCCGCCATGTCGTGAAGATGCTGTGTGTTTCATTGTGAAAGCGAAACTACTTTGTTTGGCCTTCCAAAAGAGGACGATATCATGCCTGGAGCTGATCCGTGCTGGTCGCTGAGGAAATACATCAACATTGCGCTGTGGATCGCTGGATCGAACGCACCATGAGGTCATAGAGGAGAAACAATAATGTACAGTATGTGGAAAATAATGTGTTTTTTTAACCTTAAACCGCATAAACATTTCATTACACCAAATACACAAAATAATGTTCTGTTTAGCAACATCATATGTCCCTTTTAAAATCACTCATGGAAAAATACATCGGAAATCAACATTTTTTTGTCATGACTAGTTTATTAGTGATCCAGCATAATCTGTATTTTAAAGAGAGAGAATCACTTCATCCGATTTTTAAAGTGAATAAAATAGCCTTGTCAGCCTACTTGCACATAAATACTGAAGCACTCTGTTCTCTCTCTTCTCTGTGTCGGTGAGGTAAAGGGGGAAAGCAGGCAGTGGACCAAACCACTGTGAGGCAAGGGAGGGGGGACTGAACTTTCTAAACTTAGTTTTTTTTTTTTTTTTTTTTTTTTTTTTTAAATTATTTTTTTTAGGATTTTTTTTTTATTTTGGGGAAAGCAGGCAGTGGACCAAACCACTGTGAGGCAAGGGAGGGGGGACTTAACTTTTTAAACTTAAATTTTTTTTTTTTTTTTTTTTTTTTTTTACTAACATAATTATTTTAGGTATATGTCATTATATTATTTACAATACACAGAGTGGTTTTTAATAAAACATTTTAGGAAATTTTAACCCTCAGGTCCTGTCCGCCCGTCTCTCCCGCAATTTACGCCCCAGTGTATGTATGTTTGAATTTCAATGGAGTGAGTGTGGTTAATGTATAAATGGTGTCCATGACATACAAAGGATGTTTTTGTTTTTTTTATAAAGTTGAGCTGCTTTTCTTACTTTTGTCTAGAGAGAATTTTTTGTTGCAGATTAAAAATATAAAATCAATAGATCTTATTAGCATGTGCCATGACCAAACTAGTGTGTGTAGGTGAATATCACAAAGAAATGTTTGATTTATAAAATTATTAATTTGTTGCGCCATTATTTTTTTCTCAGTCCGCATAAATTAAATTCAAATGCCACCATGTATACTTGGTTGATTCTTTTTTTCTTTTTAAACGAATATGCTTTACAAATGAAATTAAATCTAATGCAATCATAATTAAAACGCTATGTAAAAAAGGAACTTAAAATAGGCATTGTTTTCTCTTTGCTAAATATTTTTTCGTTTAAATTTATTGGAGAAATTAAATTTTTAAACAGTTTTCAAGAGATTCACTTGAAAATGGCGGTCTAAAAGTCACTGAGCAGATCATTGATACATATTTTTGATCATATATTGATACAAAATTGTGTGGTATCATCTCACAGTCGATAGGGTCTACTTTGTATCCACTTTTTTGGTGGTCTGTAAAGTAAGTGCTCTAATTCCCTGTTCATTCAGGTGGTGTGCAGAGGGAGGGAGTCTGATTGGCTGTGATTACTGCAGTAATGCCTTCTGTAAGAAGTGTGTTCTGCGTAACCAGGGGAGGAAGGAGCTGTCCACCATCCTGGAGGAAGAGAGGAAGTGGTACTGTTATGTGTGCAGTCCCGAGCCATTGGTGGAGCTGATTTTGGCCTGTGATTCAGTTCTAGAGAACCTAGAGCAGGCTCAGAAACGAGCCTCCCGTACTGAGCCAAACTCGGTCCGGGGGAGGTCTAATAAGGCCTATCTGATGGGGGCAGGAGGCGGGCCGGTGCCCTCTGCAGGCCTTTACCAGCGAATGCAGCGGTTTGTAGATGTTGCCACATCTCTGAGCCATTCCTTCAAGGCAGTCGTTCAAACTGAAAGAGAGGAGCAAGGAACCCAAGAAGAGAGAATTGGGCAGCTAAGGATGTTCCGCGCTGTGCTGGATGATCTGCAAGCTGCCAACAGTACATTACAGGTAATTTCAGTCTAAAACCACATTTTCACCAGTTAAGCTGTAAGAATGAGTGGTTTAACTAACCATTACATTTTAATTACGGATGCACCAATTATTATTAGCCGGTAATTATTATTTTGTTGTTAAGAATGATAACCAATACATTTAAATTTGGTTTTAATAAATAAATTAAAAACAACACAAAAACTAAAATCACTTTAAATGCTAGTGTAATGAATTTAGGCATCTTAACATTACAATGTACAGTATGATAAACAGTTATTCATTTTGAGATTTGGTAAAGATTGCATTTAAAAGTGTTAAATTATAAAAAATAAATTATTAGTGTTTAAAAATGAACTTCAACTGAATGTAGGTAATAGAGTGTAAAAATAGGAAAATGAGCCTGTGCAATGAAATATCTAATATAATAAAATAACTAATAATTTATATATATATATATATATGTATATTTTATACAATGATTATAATAATAATAAAGTCTCTTCAGCTCACCAAGGCTGTATTTATTTGATCAAAAATTTTGTGAAAGCAATATTGTGAAATATTTTTTATTTTTTTTTAAATAACTGCGTAATTTAAATATAATTTATTCCTGTGATGGGAAAGCTAAATTATCAGCACCCATTACTCCAGTCTTCAGTGTTGCATAATCCTTCAGAAATCATTTTAGAAAACATTCAGAAACTTCAGAAAACATTTCTTCGTATACGTGAATTGTGAATAGCCAAGAAGGACAATAGTTCATCCTGTTTTAGCAGAAGGTGTCAGGGATTGGAAATGTGAGGGAAAGGGAAACTTGACTCCACATGTAGATGTTTTTGAGTTGGTGGTTCAAAATGGTAGTTTAGATTGGAGCCACGGCCCAGCAGTTAGTGCATGCACTCTCAAGGTTCTTAAAAAGTCTTAAATATAGTTGTATCAAATTTAAGGCCTTAAAAAAATCTTAAATTGTACAACAAAGTCTTAATTATGATTTCAAGAGGTCTTAAATTTGGGGACGGAAAGACCAGAATTGCGATATGCTGAATGTGACGATTAAACTTCAAAAGGCTATGATTTCATTGATCAGAAATCATTTTAGAAAACATTCAGAAACTTCAGAAAACATTTCTTCGTATACGTGAATTGTGAATAGCCAAGAAGGACAATAGTTCATCCTGTTTTAGCAGAAGGTGTCAGGGATTGGAAATGTGAGGGAAAGGGAAACTTGACTCCACATGTAGATGTTTTTGAGTTGGTGGTTCAAAATGGTAGTTTAGATTGGAGCCACGGCCCAGCAGTTAGTGCATGCACTCTCAAGGTTCTTAAAAAGTCTTAAATTTAGTTGTATCAAATTTAAGGCCTTAAAAAAATCTTAAATTGTACAACAAAGTCTTAATTATGATTTCAAGAGATCTTAAATTTGGGGACGGAAAGACCAGAATTGCGATATGCTGAATGTGACGATTAAACTTCAAAAGGCTATGATTTCATTGAATAAACACAAGCGCTGTTCAAAATCCAGTGCTGTGCTGCTTTGTGTTCTGCCGTTACCGGGAAAACAGTTATATTTCTACCAAACGCTCCACCTGCTGGCAGAGAATGAATGAGCATATTCAATAAAACGGTTGTTTTGTTCAGAGTTCAGACCAATGCGAAAATCGACCCATGTTTTTACCCTGCAAACACGCAGAGCTTTGAATGTGAACTGGTGGATAGGTAAGAAGACAATGCATTATAAAAATCTAAACAGGGTTGTGCGATATGTATGGTCTGCCATAATATCGTAATTGTTGTTTTAACGATGTGCGATTTGATATGAGTATATCGCGAAAAGCAAACACAAAACACACCTACAGAGTTCATGCATACATTAGGTGATGAAGTCTAGCAGGTTAGACTTGTGCGCGTGCGCATTTAGAGTGCGTTCTTTCACTGCATGAATCAGTCTATTAAAATGCATTTAGAATTATCACATAATTTAAGATATGGGGCAGAAAATGTATATATTCAAATAATTTGATATAGTTATCACACGGAAGAGTGCCCTTTTTTCTCAAAGTAAGCATGATTACAAGTGTGATATTGATTTTATACTACAGTTCAATAAACAAGTAGTTAATATTAAGAGACTTACGTTTTAGACACCATATTTCTTGTTTTTGCTCTATTTCTCCCAAAAAAAATATTTCAAACAGCAACAGCTCTGTTTTGCGTCTCTGAGCAACAGGACGCGGTTTTGTTCTTCACAACGAAACACAGCGGCACACACGGCGGGCTAGAGTGAGCGGCGGCCGGTGGATTCAACAAAGGAGCTGCCGGCGGGCTTGCGGCAACCACATGTGACGACCCCAGGCTAGACTCCGCTTCGTCCACGGTGAAAGCCGATCCGGCGATCCACAGCGCGAGGGTGATGTATTTCC